GCTCATCTTCGGTGGGGGGTGGGCTGGGTGACAGTCTGGCTTTGGGGATCCTACTGCAGGCTTGGCCGGGGCAGGCGTGCTCTCAGTTTGGGGAGGCAGGGTGCCAGGGCTGCGGCAGGGGCTATCCGTTCTCCACCTGCTGCTCTGAGCTGTGGCCATGGGCTGTGCTTGATGGGAGGTGTCGGTGGGGACAACCAGCCCCTCCCCAAGCTCCCAGCCCCAGGCACAGGCACAGACAGGAGGCAGCTAGCCCAATGCCTGTGTTTCAGGAGCAGCTGCTGCCTCCTTCAGAGAACGAGGTGCTGTGACCACTCACAGCCGAGACGAGTGCCACGGGGATCAGGTGGGGGCAGAGCTGAAGAGAAGGAAGGCAGGAGGCAGGGAAGGTTCCCTGCCTGGGGCTCAGGGCTGTGGGCATCTTTCTCCCCTGAGCTCCAAGGACAGGAGGTGGAAGCCACTCAGGGAGGAGACAGGATCCTGTACAGCGCTGCCCCTGTCCTCAGCAGGGGTCTTTCTCCCCACTGCACGATGGAGCCCAGTCAGGCTCCTGCACAGTGATCTGCCCACCCAGCCAGCAAGACCCTGCCCTGACCCACGCCCGGGACACCAACACCAGGTAGGTTCCCGTGGCTGCGTGCCCGGGGTCCACCTCCACCCTATGAGGAGGCAGCGGGTCACGGAGGGTCACCAGAGAGAGCAGAGGGCAGCCAGCGCAGGGTAGTTCCCGGCTCTCTGCTCCCACGGGCCATGGGGATGCAGCCCGTAGAGTCCAGCTCACATGGGCATCCCATGGGGAAGAGGGGGCAGCGTGGGGGCTACGGCAAACAGCAACGCACGGGCACATGCACAGAGTACGACGTAGCGAGGCGCCTCCAGGGACCCCCAGGCTGGGCTGAGTAGGTTTCACTGTGCCAACAGGCCCGGCTCTCTGGGAGCTGCTGAGGATGGGGGAAGGCTGAGCCAGCGCAGGTGCCAAGGAAGAGGCTCGGTATAGCCCTGGTCCTCTGCCCCGTGACCGAGCTCCCTTGCACTGCAGGCAGGTCTCCTGGGGTCCGGGCTCTGACCGCCTGATGGGGTCAAAGCACGACCTGCGGTACCACACGGGAGAGGCCAGCGAAAGCCCCAGAGCTGCCACCCCTGGGCCAGGGCACAGGCGCCTCTGAGGCTGCTGCCCTCTTCAGCCTCTGGCAATGTGTCCCTGGCTGAGGCAGGTGTGGGGCAGCTGCCTCCAGGGTGTGGAGGGCAGCGACTCCATGTCTGCCTGGCACACCATGGAGGGGCTGTCCCCAGCCCCCCCAGGGCAGCAGCCCACCTGGGGTATTAGTTAGGAACCAACCAACTGAACCTGAAAGCATGGGACAGTGACCCCCACCGACCACTGGCGCCCTGCTCCCCAGCCCGGGGCTGCCCTGCCACCAGTGCCTCACCCTCCCTCGCTGCTCCAGCGCCCACCCCAGGACCCGGCTGCCACAGGGGAGGTGGGAGGGCAAGGGGGGCACCAGGGGCCTGCCTCTGGGCAATGGCTCTGCTGCTGGCAGACAGGATCGCTCCCTTCCCCCTCCCTGCCAGGCACCTCGTGTTCCAGGGGCAGAAGAGCCCATGCCCCAAGTCGGAGCTGTGCCTGCTCCCGCCCTGGCTCTGGGCCCCCCAGGAGCAGGCTCCAGCAGCCCCCTCGGCCTGCGGGGCAGGCGTCACTTGAGCAAGGATATGTCGTCGGCAAAGTCGTCGTGGTCCCGCCGCAGGCAGCGGAAGCAGCGCCACTGGAAGACCATCAGACAGAGCGGCAGCATGAAGAGGGCGCAGATGGCTGCCATGACATAGGCGATGGTCATCAGCGTGGACTCGTCCGTCTGCGGGATGTTGTAGCCACAGTCTGCCATGTCGGGGTGCAGGTATGGCCCCTCCACCGCCGCCCGCCGGAACTCGTCGTGCACTGTGTGCGGGGAGGGCGGTGTGTCACGCGCCAGAACAGGCACCCGGCGCTGGCTGGGAGCACAGGGGACCACCTGGCCAGAGCAGACCCCTTCCCCCAGCACCCGCAGCTGCCCACCCCGCTGGTTCTACTGCTGTCAGCCTGGGTGGTGTCACTGAGCACGCTCACATGTGCCCCAGCCGGTCCTGCCCCCCCTGCCCTCACCGTGGCAGGTGCTGACCGCAAAGCCGATGCGCTTGCGGGCCCGGTCGAAGATGACGTAGAAGCCCTCCATGATGACGGCGCCCATGACGGTGCCAGTGGAGGACTGCGAGATGGCAAACTTGTAGCAGTCATCCTGGGAGGTAGCCACATCCTCCACGGGGCGCAGGTATTGCTGGAGAGAGACGGCGAACCATCATCCATGCTGCTGGGGCGATGTGCTGGCCCCCGAATGGTCCAGCCTCTGGTTCCACCCACGATGGAGAGAGGGCGCTGAATCTAGACTCCAACCCCCCACATTAAACCTCAGGGACTAGGCCTCCCCTTCCCCTGCCCAGGGCTGCTGTCCCAGGGACCCCAGGCTGCACTGTGGTGCTCCCCACGCTTTTCCTCCTCTGGCCGCTGCCCTGGCTGCACTCCCCCCCTGCCCAGCATGGCACGGGAACCCACCTGGGGCAGGATGGTGATCCGGAAGGACTGGTTGGTGGCCTCGCCCATCAAATAGAGTGAGATGATGGGGAAGATGTGCCAGGGGGTGGTGCCGACCTGCCAGCACACCAGCTGCTCCCCCAGCCAGAAGCCGTCGGGGAACTTCTCCGTCTGTCCGGCAGGGAAGGGAGGGAGTGTGAGCATCTGTGCCAAGATGCAGGAAATTTGGGCCGGGGCCTGCCAGAGCCTGGTGGAGATGCATGCAAGGATGCAGCGGGGCTTTCCTCCTCCCTCTCCCAGTGGTGGATGGGTGAGCCCCTCTGCATAGTGCTCTGAGGTGCCAGCCCAAAGCGGCATGAGCTGTGCTGGGACATGGCCCGTGTCCGAGGGGGTGGGGT